ACCATTGTAAGTAATATCCCGGAGACCATTGTAAGTAATATCCTGGGGACCATTGTAAGTAATATCCTGGAAACCATTGTAAGTAATATCCTGGAGACCATTGTAAGTAGTATCAAGGAGACCATTGTAAGTAATATCCTGGGGACCATTGTAAGTCATATCCTGGGGACCATTGTAAGTCATATCCCGGAGACCATTGTAAGTCATATCCCGGAGACCATTGTAAGTAATATCTGGAGACCATTGTAAGTAATATCCCGGAGACCATTGTAAGTAGTATCAAGGAGACCATTGTAAGTAATATCCCGGAGACCATTGTAAGTAATATCCCGGAGACCATTGTAAGTAATATCCCGGAGACCATTGTAAGTAGTATCAAGGAGACCATTGTAAGCAATATCCTGGAAACCATTGTAAGTAATATCAAGGAGACCATTGTAAGTAGTATCAAGGAGACCATTGTAAGTAATATCCTGGAGACCATTGTAAGTAGTATCAAGGACACTGACAGAGTAGATATATGTAGGCCTACATAGAATATAGTCACAACATTCTAATGCATTGTAAATATTCATGAATCAATCTTAACTACGATAAATCAATCTAGACGGAAAACGGACAGCCGGTAGACATTCCTCACAGCATCTGTCCGTTTTTGTTATTGTGACAAAATTGATAAATAATTTATATATATGTGTAGGATATACACTGAGACAACTGAAGTTGTCCACTTCCGAGATCCGTGTGTGCTTATAATGAAACATTGTCTTCTCCATAATGTGTATAGTTGTAACGATATACATCATACTCTGGTACAATAACGCCTGGTAGTTCAAATTAGAAACATTCAGATCAACTTACATTACTGTATATGATACACTGTTTGGACATAATTGTAACACAACTGACAATTGTTACTGAGCAAGATCTAAAAGGTCAATTTAGTCTCCTTAATACTAATAAACCTGCTGGTCCTGATGGTATCTTACCTAAGGTAATAAAAAAACTTATCGTCCTCGCTAATTTACCATTAAAATGTTATCTAATAGAACACTAACCAAAGCCTGTGTAAATGCTCTTTACAAAGGTAAAGGTGAAATAAGTGATCTTAATAATTATAGACCTATTGCTATTACTTTTATTAAGATGCTCGAAAAAATCATTTTTAAATATACCAATAATTATATTATGAAATATCAACTACTTAGTGAAAATTAATCTAGTTTTTAGCCTAGAGACTCAACTGTTAACCAACTTGTAGATATTTTTGATACAATAAGTTCTAACTTAGACAAAGGTAATGATTTACGCTTTGTATTTTGTGACATTAGTAAAGCATTTGATCGGGTATGGCATTTAGGACTTTTATATAAACTTCGAAAATTTGGAATTAAAGGTAAATTATTAGAGTGGTTCAAAGCTTACTTATCTGACAGAAAACAAAGTGTAATCATTGATGGTTATCAATCTAATACTAAACCAATTAATGCAGGTGTACCTCAAGGGTCTGTTCTTGGACCCTTTTTATTTTTACTATTTATTAATGACATACCTGGCAACATTACTTCTAACATTAAATTATTTGCTAGTAATACTTCACTTTACATTGTTATTGATAGTAAAAATGAAATTGAAGCTGCTGCTAATATTCTTAATGATGATCTCTCTTCAATCTCTTCTGGGGCTAATCTGTGGCAAATCCTTTTTAACCCAAACAAATCTGTTGCTGTAAACTTTACTCACAAACAAACTGATCTTCACCCTCCTCTTCTCTTTAATAACCATCCTGTAATGCAGAATGACTGTCACACACATTTAGGATTAACCTTTAATTAAAAAAAGGGGGACATGGTCAGATCATATATCTACAATTTATGAAAAAGCTTCCTCTAGACTTAATATACTTAGAATGTTGAAACATAAGTAGATAGAAATACTTTAAAAACATCATATATATCATACATCAGACCGATTTTAGAATACTCTGATGTTGTTTGGGATAACTGTTCTAAGAAAGAATCAGACCTACTAGAATCTGTGCAATTAGAAGCAATGCGCTTAATAACTGGTTTAAGGAGAGGTACATTACATCATTTACTTTATTCAGAAACACAATTAGAAACATTAGAGACTAGGAGACATAATCACAAACTTACCCTCATGTTTAAAATTATAAATAAATATACACCTACATACCTCTATAACATCATACAACCATTCATCAATACAAACATTAATTACACATTTAGAAATGAAAGAATCTTCAATGTTCTTTTTGCATGAACTAATAATTATAACAATAGTTACTTCCCTTCTACTATGAGTCACTGGAACTCTCTTGATGACTCTATAAGGAACTCTATTTCAATCTCTAGTTTTAAATCTAAATTAAAAAAATAATTTCTGATATGCTTGTTAATTGTAGTCCAAAAAATCTTAATATTATATTGTGCCAACTAAGGAACTATGCCAGTGACCTAAATTATGATAGACTAGTAGATAATTTGATTGAAGATGGTTCCTGTAGGTGTGGTACTAATCTTGAAGATGCTACTCATTTTTTTCTTTCGGTGTCCTCTTTACTCAAATATTAGACATCACATTTAGTCTGTATATAATTTACTAGGATTTGTTAACCTTAATGTTTTACTATTTGGCAACATTGGGATATCGGATGAACTAAATCGTGAAGTACTTTTCCACACCAGCTCATACTTAAAAAAAATAAAAAAGATTTTCAAATTTATAAAATTTAAGTAGTTTTATACTCAAAGGCAAGTTCTAATGTCTATATTATAATAATTATTATTTATTATTTTTTTTGATTGTGTGTTATGGTATGTGTGGGCAATACAGTTGTGTGTGTGAGTACTTTTCCTCCTCTCTTCCTTAATACATGTAATTATTATACCTCAAAACTATTACCTACTTTAATCAATCCATATTATAAAACATATAATAATACCGGTTATCTTGTGGGAAAAAACTTATATAGGCTTAGCCTGTTGTTTGATCCCAATTGTTATTGCATTTATTTGTAATGTTATATGTGTGTGTTAAATGTATGCATTAACAGTAAAATATTTATGAACGAAGGAAGACAATTTTTACTCGTACCATACCCTTGTATCCAACTCACGACACCAAACCACCTAGCAAAGCAACCGCACCAACCCGACATCCCCAAAAAAGGATGTAAAGATACATATGTACAATATACTAAAAATAACTATTTTCATGGAAAGTGCGTGATACGAAAGTAAAAATATTCGGGGCTCCCTCAGTGCTAACATTTGTCAACATGACATAACTTGACTTTTTATTAAAAGAAGACCCTTCCCAAACGTCACGTTTTCTATCGTGATCGCTTAACTGCGTAAGACAAAACCCATGAAAATCTTTCCTGTGTTAATATTCTATTCTCTTTTAATCAATTCTAAATTAATAAGAATGATAATTTTGTTTGCATGTATTCTATTATTGTTTAGACACAACTCGTGTCCTGTTGTTTACATGTATTCTATTGTTGTTTTAGACATAACTCGTGTCCTGTTGTTTACATGTCTTCTATAGTTGTTTAGACATAGCTCGTGTCCTGTTGTTTACATGTATTCTATTGTTGTTTTAGACATAGCTCGTGTCCTGTTGTTTACATGTATTCTATAGTTGTTTTAGACATAGCTCGTGTCCTGTTGTTTACATGTATTCTATTGTTGTTTTAGACATAACTCCTGTCCTGTTGTTTACATGTATTCTATTGTTGTTTTAGACATAACTCGTGTCCTGTTGTTAACATGTATTCTATAGTTGTTTTAGACATAGCTCGTGTCCTGTTGTTTACATATATTCTATAGTTGTTTAGACATAGCTCGTGTCCTGTTGTTTACATGTATTCTATAGTTGTTTTAGACATAGCTCGTGTCCTGTTGTTTACATGTATTCTATAGTTGTTTTAGACATAGCTCGTGTCCTGTTGTTTACATATATTCTATAGTTGTTTAGACATAGCTCGTGTCCTGTTGTTTACATGTATTCTATAGTTGTTTAGACATAACTCGTGTCCTGTTGTTTACATGTATTCTATAGTTGTTTAGACATAGCTCGTGTCCTGTTGTTTACATGTATTCTATTGTTGTTTTAGACATAGCTCGTGTCCTGTTGTTTACATGTATTCTATTGTTGTTTTAGACATAACTCGTGTCCTGTTGTTTACATGTATTCTATAGTTGTTTTAGACATAGCTCGTGTCCTGTTGTTTACATATATTCTATAGTTGTTTAGACATAGCTCGTGTCATATTGTTTACATGTATTATATTGTTGTTTTAGACATAGCTCGTGTCCTGTTGTTTACATATATTCTATAGTTGTTTAGACATAGCTCGTGTCCTGTTGTTTACATCTATCGGTCAGTTACTAAGATCAGCTAAGCTATTCTCTACTGTAGTCTCTTTTTCAACTGCATCCGTTGGTCAGTTTTACCAGGGTTAATGTCCTCGCTACAACCAGGGTCATTTGAGGACGGGTGTCAAGATAGACACCTCTAGTATAATACTATTAGATACAAAAACAAAAAAGCTGTTGAATTGGGGGTAGCAGATCTATATTGGTGTCTTTGAAGTCTCTTTGTAGAAGAGACACATTGGTATACACCATTTTATTCTTGGGCTCTCGGACGTCGGAGAACACAATATCGACTCAGAAAATTTGGTTTTGTTTTCAGTTTTCTATACATAACTTCAGGGTCAGTAATAATCAAGCTTATGTGTTAACGAATGAATTAACTTCACTTACATAAGCATAATATGTGTTAATGAATTAATTGACTCCACTAACATAAACATCATATGTGTGCTATAATGTTTATCATAAATGGAGTATTTTGCATCATTGGTACATACAAATATCGATGAACTTATCAATAAGCATCACTACCCTATTTCAGTTGACATCAATTAAGAAATTTTCGTTTCAATAATTAGTATCCCTTGTTAATTTCAGTTGATATATGCACACCTGGCACTGTTCACGGGAGCGAGACTTTACTAATAGACTTTTCACCGGAAGTTGGAATAAACTCATGTAACTGCAACTTCACAATAGATGGCGCTAGATTGAACATATCCAGTCTAACAACGCCTCAGAATTCATGTGGATCGCAACTAGAAGTGGATGTGGGCCTGGATTATCTCGAAGTGGACTGTAACCCTGTCAATAAATCCTACAACACGTCAGAGATCAAGCGAGGAAATATCTGGACCACGGGGGGCGTATTCCATAGCGGAGTGTCGCCTCAAGACTTGTGTCTCGAATTCACAATTGAAGGAGGTAGGTGTGACAATAAGAAATGATATTATGAAAATGGTAAAATAGAAGATTGTTGTGCCTATTGTAGTTGAGGAATAAAATACAACGATGATGTTTTTTTTTTTTTTTTTTGAAATTGTAAAGTTATGCTTGATTACTACTTTCAATGGTTTATATGTTGTGTAGGTGCGTCTACAGTGACCGTAACATGTACTTTTGAGAGAAACTGGGAACGAGGTACCACAACAGATGTAACTCTCGGCCCTGAGGCTCCCTCGTCCATCACTAAAACCGTCGGCCTTACCACACCAGCCCTTCTGCGGACCACCACAACAACAGATCCAGCAACCGCTAAACCAACAACACCACAAACCACAGACAGTGGTACCTCTACCGCAGACATATTAGAACCACCAGCCAGCATAAGAGATGAAATTCTCAAGTTGGCCAAAAATGATGAAAAACCTGTTGTTTTTGAAGATGCTAACCTACTCGTTAATACAGAAGAATCTATTATGGAAGATACAACGACAAACTCTGAAGGAATATTCACTGATGTAACAGCTTCCGGTACAACGTCCGTCCCTATTTTACCGCCTAAAGATATTATGGACACGATATTAGAGATAGCAAATGCTACAAAAAATCCTATTCGTGTTGAACATCCAAGTACAACACCACTACAAAATGTTACAAGTGATGGGGTTTCCAAGACGACCACGTTGTTACCCCAACCTCTAGAATCCTCTGTTAGACTTCCAATTGTCCCGCCGACAGACATCATGAGCCAACTGCTAGATATCGCGAACAATGGTACAAATAAAACAATAGTTTTCCCAGAGTTTGCTGATAAAGATGTGAGTTCACAAACATCGGAACAAGCAACTCTCAAATCAACAGTGTTATCAGAAGAAACAACAACACCGCAAAAACAAACAACAGAAGTCAGTTCTTTAATATCCTCAACAACAACACAACAAACAACTGGAGTAGATATTATGACAACAGTACCTTCTGACGTTGTCTCAACACAACAACCTACGTCAATGCTACAAAAAACACAAGCGACAACTGTTGTTGTTGCAACTAAACAATCTTTGGAAACAACTACACCAAACATTAAGTTCTCAACCACAGGATATGACCAAACACTATATGATGGTCTGCCTGCAAATACTAATGATGACGATTGGACAAGTCATCCCGAAAGTACGACCTCGACCACCAGAAAGACCACAACTCAAGCCGTTAGAAAAGCCCCAAGAGGCGACATTGAAATCACTACCCAAACAGACAGACCGGAAATGACGTCTGTACTACAAACAACTTCCGATACCATCTTTTCAATTACAACACAGAGGAAGGACCCCATCATTACCACGACTCTGCCGGACACTGATGACGTGACAAGAGCGCGGAATGGAACCGGAACTGACGACACGCATGAGACAAAAGACACAGTAATCGGTAAGAAATTTGTAATGATAATGCCTGTTTGACTCCTCTGAAATTTTAACTTAACTCCTAAGTAAGCCTGTCCTTTTTCGGTGCTTTTGGGTAATGTCCCTTTTAGACAATTGCTTGTATTCGCCTCGGCATGAAAATCCTGTTTGAAGCCTGCTAATATTTATTATTGGTGACTTTTCTAGAATGTCCTTACACCTCGTATCGTATCGAAGTTATCGTTTTCTAGCAGACAACGACACTAAATATATACAAATATAACGATAATATAGCATAAATTGTGGTGGACTCAAACGTCCTACCTTGTGTATTCTGACACCCTACCTTGTGTATTCTGACGCCTTGTGACACCCTACCTTGTGTATTCTGACACCCTACCTTGTGTATTCTGACACCTTACCTTGTGTATTCTGACACCTTACCTTGTGTATTCTGACACCCTACCTTGTGTATTCTGACACCCTACCTTGTGTATTCTGACACCTTACCTTGTTTATTCTGAAGTCTTACCTTGTGTATTCTGACACCCTACCTTGTGTATTCTGACACCCTACCTTGTTTATTCTGACACCTTACCTTGTGTATTCTGACATCTTACCTTGTGTATTTTGACATCTTACCTTGTGTATTCTGACACCTTACCTTGTGTATTCTGACATCTTACCTTGTGTATTCTGACACCCTACCTTGTGTATTCTGACACCCTACCTTGTGTATTCTGACGTCTTACCTTGTGTATTCTGACACCTTACCTTGTGTATTCTGACCCCATATCTGGTGTATTCTGACACCTTACCTTGTGTATTCTGACACCCTACCTTGTGTATTCTGACGTCTTACCTTGTGTATTCTGACACACTACCTTGTGTATTCTGACGTCTTACCTTGTGTATTCTGACATCTTACCTTGTGTATTCTGACACCTTACCTTGTGTATTCTGACATCTTACCTTGTGTATTCTGACATCTTACCTTGTGTATTCTGACATCTTACCTTGTGTATTCTGACACCTTACCTTGTGTATTCTGACACCCTACCTTGTGTATTCTGACACCTTACCTTGTGTATTCTGACACCTTACCTTGTGTATTCTGACATCTTACCTTGTGTATTCTGACGTCTTACCTTGTGTATTCTGACACACTACCTTGTGTATTCTGACATCTTACCTTGTGTATTCTGACACCTTACCTTGTGTATTCTGACATCTTACCTTGTGTATTCTGACATCTTACCTTGTGTATTCTGACATCTTACCTTGTGTATTCTGACGTCTTACCTTGTGTATTCTGACACCCTACCTTGTGTATTCTGACATCTTACCTTGTGTATTCTGACACCCTACCTTGTGTATTCTGACACCTTACCTTGTGTATTCTGACACACTACCTTGTGTATTCTGACGTCTTACCTTGTGTATTCTGACACCCTACCTTGTGTATTCTGACACCTTACCTTGTGTATTCTGACATCTTACCTTGTGTATTCTGACATCTTACCTTGTGTATTCTGACACCCTACCTTGTGTATTCTGACACCTTACCTTGTGTATTCTGACATCTTACCTTGTGTATTCTGACACCCTACCTTGTGTATTCTGACACCTTACCTTGTGTATTCTGACATCTTACCTTGTGTATTCTGACACCCTACCTTGTGTATTCTGACACCTTACCTTGTGTATTCTGACATCTTACCTTGTGTATTCTGACACCTTACCTTGTGTATTCTGACGTCTTACCTTGTGTATTCTGACACCTTACCTTGTGTATTCTGACATCTTACCTTGTGTATTCTGACGTCTTACCTTGTGTATTCTGACACACTACCTTGTGTATTCTGACACCCTACCTTGTGTATTTTGACACCTTACCTTGTGTATTCGGACACCCTACCTTGTGTTTTCTGACACCCTACCTTGTGTATTCTGACATCTTACCTTGTGTATTCTGACATCTTACCTTGTGTATTCTGACACCTTACCTTGTGTATTCTGACACGTTACCTTGTGCATTCTGACGTCTTACCTTGTGTATTCTGACACCTTACCTTGTGTATTCTGACCCCATATCTAGTGTATTCTGACACCTTACCTTGTGTATTCTGACACACTACCTTCTCTATTATGACAACTTACCTTGTGTATTCTGACACTTACCTTGTGTATTCTGACACACTACCTTGTGTATTCTGACATCTTACCTTGTGTATTCTGACACACTACCTTGTGTATTCTGACATCTTACCTTGTGTATTCTGACACCTACCTTGTGTATTCTGACATCTTACCTTGTGTATTCTGACATCTTACCTTGTATATTCTGACATCTTACCTTGTGTATTCTGACACCTTACCTTGTGTATTCTGACACCTTACCTTGTGTATTCTGACACACTTACCTTGTGTATTCTGACACACTTACCTTGTGTATTCTGACACACTACCTTGTGTATTCTGACGTTCTGACACACACTACCTTGTGTATTCTGACATCTTACCTTGTGTATTCTGACACACTTACCTTGTGTATTCTGACATCTTACCTTGTGTATTCTGACATCTTACCTTGTGTATTCTGACACCTTACCTTGTGTATTCTGACACCTTACCTTGTGTATTCTGACACACTACCTTGTGTATTCTGACACCTTACCTTGTGTATTCTGACACCTTACCTTGTGTATTCTGACATCTACCTGTATTCTGACGTCTTACCTTGTGTATTCTGACATCTTACCATGTGTATTCTGACAACCTACCTTGTGTATTCTGACACCTTACCTTGTGTATTCTGACACACTACCTTGTGTATTCTGACATCTTACCTTGTGCATTCTGACGTCTTACCTTGTGTATTCTGACACCTTACCTTGTGTATTTTGACCCCATATCTGGTGTATTCTGACACCTTACCTTGTGTATTCTGACATCTTACCTTGTGTATTCTGACACCTTACCTTGTGTATTCTGACATCTTACCTTGTGTATTCTGACACACTACCTTGTGTATTCTGACACACTACCTTGTGTATTCTTACACACTACCTTGTGTATTCTGACATCTTACCTTGTGTATTCTGACACACTTACCTTGTGTATTCTGACACACTTACCTTGTGTATTCTGACACACTACCTTGTGTATTCTGACATCTTACCTTGTGTATTCTGACTTTGTGTATTCTGACATGTGTATTCTGACATCTTACCTTGTGTATTCTGACACCTTACCTTGTGTATTCTGACACACTTACCTTGTGTATTCTGACACCTTACCTTGTGTATTCTGACACACTTACCTTGTGTATTCTGACACACTTACCTTGTGTATTCTGACACACTTACCTTGTGTATTCTGACACACTTACCTTGTGTATTCTGACATCTTACCTTGTGTATTCTGACACACTACCTTGTGTATTCTGACATCTTACCTTGTGTATTCTGACACACTACCTTGTGTATTCTGACATCTTACCTTGTGTATTCTGACACACTACCTTGTGTATTCTGACATCTTACCTTGTGTATTCTGACATCTTACCTTGTGTATTCTGACATCTTACCTTATGTATTCTGACGTCTTATCTTGTGTATTCTGACACACTACCTTGTGTATTCTGACACGTTACCTTGTGCATTCTGACGTCTTACCTTGTGTATTCTGACACACTACCTTGTGTATTCTGACACACTACCTTGTGTATTCTGACATCTTACCTTGTGTATTCTGACACCTTACCTTGTGTATTCTGACACACTACCTTGTGTATTCTGACATCTTACCTTGTGTATTCTGACATCTTACCTTGTGTATTCTGACACACTACCTTGTGTATTCTGACATCTTACCTTGTGTATTCTGACACACTACCTTGTGTATTCTGACACACTACCTACCTTCTGTATTCTGACATCTTACCTTGTGTATTCTGACATCTTACCTTGTGTATTCTGACACACTACCTTGTGTATTCTGACATCTTACCTTGTGTATTCTGACATCTTACCTTGTGTATTCTGACACACTACCTTGTGTATTCTGACATCTTACCTTGTGTATTCTGACATCTTACCTTGTGTATTCTGACACACTACCTTGTGTATTCTGACACACTACCTTGTGTATTCTGACATCTTACCTTGTGTATTCTGACACCTTACCTTGTGTATTCTGACGTCTTACCTTGTGTATTCTGACACCTTACCTTGTGTATTCTGACTTCTTACCTTGTGTATTCTGACACACTACCTTTTGTATTCTGACATCTTACCTTGTGTATTCTGACATCTTACCTTGTGTATTCTGACACTTACCTTGTGTATTCTGACACCTTACCTTGTGTATTCTGACACTTACCTTGTGTATTCTGACACACTTGTGTACCTTGTGTATTCTGACATCTTACCTTGTGTATTCTGACCTTGTGTATTCTGACATCTTACCTTGTGTATTCTGACATCTTACCTTGTGTATTCTGACACCTTACCTTGTGTATTCTGACGTCTTACCTTGTGTATTCTGACACCTTACCTTGTGTATTCTGACATCTTACCTTGTGTATTCTGACACACTACCTTGTGTATTCTGACATCTTACCTTGTGTATTCTGACACACTACCTTGTGTATTCTGACGTCTTACCTTGTGTATTCTGACATCTTACCTTGTGTATTCTGACACACTACCTTGTGTATTCTTGTTTATTCTGACACACTACCTTGTGTATTCTGACATCTTACCTTGTGCATTCTGACGTCTTACCTTGTGTATTCTGACACCTTACCTTGTGTATTCTGACACCCTATCTTATGTATTCGGACACCTTACCTTGTGTATTCTGACATCTTACCTTGTGTATTCTGACACACTACCTTGTGTATTCTGACATCTTACCTTGTGTATTCTGACACACTACCTTGTGTATTCTGACATCTTACCTTGTGTATTCTGACACACTACCTTGTGTATTCTGACATCTTACCTTGTGTATTCTGACACACTACCTTGTGTATTCTGACATCTTACCTTGTGTATTCTGACATCTTACCTTGTGTATTCTGACACACTACCTTGTGTATTCTGACATCTTACCTTGTGTATTCTGACGTCTTACTTTGTGTATTCTGACACCCTACCTGGTGTATTCTGACACACTACCTTGTGTATTCTGTCACACTACCTTGTGTATTCTGACACCTTACCTTGTGTATTCTGACACCTTACCTTGTGTATTCTGACACCTTACCTTGTGTATTCTGACACACTACCTTGTGTATTCTGACATCTTACCTTGTGCATTCTGACGTCTTACCTTGTGTATTCTGACACCTTACCTTGTGTATTCTGACACACTACCTTGTGTATTCTGACATCTTACCTTGTGTATTCTGACACACTACCTTGTGTATTCTGACACACTACCTTGTGTATTCTGACATCTTACCTTGTGTATTCTGACATCTTACCTTGTGTATTCTGACGTCTTACCTTGTGTATTCTGACATCTTACCTTGTGTATTCTGACGTCTTACCTTGTGTATTCTGACATCTTACCTTGTGTATTCCGACACCCTACCTTGTGTTTTCTGACATCTTACCTTGTTTATTCTGACATCTTACCTTGTGTATTCTGACATCTTACCTTGTGTATTCTGACACCTTACCTTGTGTATTCTGACACCTTACCTTGTGTATTCTGACACCTTACCTTGTGTATTCTGACGTCTTACCTTGTGTATTCTGACACACTACCTTATGTATTCTGACATCTTACCTTGTGTATTCTGACATCTTACCTTGTGTATTCTGACATCTTACCTTGTGTATTCTGACATCTTACCTTGTGTATTCTGACACCCTACATTATGTATTCTGACACACTACCTTGTGTATTCTGACATCTTACCTTGTATATTCTGACATCTTGTATATTTTCATGTTTTTGGATTGATCAATAATCTTTTATGAAATGTTTTATCTGTTTTTAGCAGGCTGTGTGTATGACGCCTGCTCATGATGTAGCATATGCGATTCAAATCATGTCCTATTATCTTTTTTATGAATATATATATCAACAAATTTATGACATTTGCGGACTAAAATGCACGCAAAGTTCATTAGCATGCATTTTTCCCATATATCCATATTAATAAGGAATGTCCCTTCCTTCCTAGTGCTGGGCTATGTATGTAAGTAACTGTTTCACGTCCTGCTTTAATATTTGTTTTCTGCACTGTATAGACGAGGAAAAATATTTTAATAAAATGATCTGAGAGTTGATTTCTCAGCCCTAAGTGTAATTCAGCATTATAAAATGAAGATACACTTATTTTGAATTCTTCTCTAATGATTGCAAGGGAAAATACAGAATACTTAAATCCAAATATCTATGCATGCATGTGGTGAAAGGTATTTTACTCATGTTGGGTATGTTTTGTGTCTGAACGGGACAGTGACTATTGAAAAATCTAAACTGGTTTTTACTGAAAAAAAGAGTTTTTTATTAAATCAAACGTGACACTCGAAAAGTCTTAATCTGACCTGTGTCAACAAATCTACTGATGTCAATTGACAAGAATTTTTTTCCAATTTTGCTTCGTTTCAACGTAAGAAAGAACCTCTTTTAGGAACAATATAATTTTGCCCACGAACCAATTTAAACCGAACTGGGTTGTAATGCATGTAATTGGTTAACTGCACGGACAAGCAAGCTTCGCTAAGGCTAGGTTAGTGGTACGTAATGAAGTGAAATGTTCGTGCCCTACATATCGCCGTACCATCAGCTATTTAATCGTAAACATCTAGTGTTATTGTGTCTAACTATTGGTATCTATTTCCTCTAACACAGTGATATTCAGATATTAATGTAACTAATTAAGTCACAATGTAAAAATTATCCTGTTTTTTTTTATTGAATCAATAGAGACGTGTTTTAACAAGATAAATATATTCACCAACATCACAATATACGTTAGATATGTTAATAAAACAGTTGTTAATCACATACGTTGACAGGATCTTGTCACAGGTAAGATAGGTGTGGTCCCGCTTTTACATGGAGCTCTCCTACTAGCTGTTCTTCCCGGAAGACATTCTTTTTCCTCCATCCCCCATCCCCCATCCCCCTCTCAAAGCAACCAAAACACGAAGTAAATACAGACGAGGAGTGATTAGTTAGTTAAGATCTGTACCTTTCAGAATGTGAAGTTGTCTCTATGAGGATATTCGTTAAACAGACATTACAAGACTGTTTACATCTCATAATTATTCTTTTTTTTTTTTACAAGATTTGCGATTGTGAAAAATAAATATTCACTTTACAATATTCTAAAAATCAAATGTTTTTGTTTCTTGTGTCACGTGGGTTTTTTTAGAAATGCACATTTTTATCAAATAATTTGATGGAATGCATCTTTTATAAGGGTTTCGTTCAGACGCTAAACAGGCGGGAAACAGTATGGTTTGTTATCACGTGCGTGACACGTGGTCGGACCTGTATGCTACTAATAGAACTGATAGCTGTAATTTCGGACGGTTAAGATTTTCGGATGTTGAAGCACAATGTGTGGATTTTATAGGAAATCGTCAAACGGTCTAAGATTTCTCTGTATTAATTCTATAAGGTATCAACATTTCGTTTTGTGTTTTAATAACATCCTCAAAAATATTACAAATAAACCACGCAAAAATAACAAAACTTACAGTTATGCATGGTGTCGGTATCAGCCAGGTATGCATGAGGTCTATGTAAACAGAGAAATGGTGTGAAAGTATCAGCTTTCTTCAATTACTTGGTTTCATTATGGATATTAATTGAGACACTTTTTTGAACTAACACCGTGTTTTTGATATAGCTGTCAGGATGTTATATAAGAACAATACATTGTCAAGCGGTGAGAAGCTGATATCACGTTAAGCGACTTTTAATTAATTCTTAAGTCACTATGAGTTCAGCTGCTGGAGTTCGTAATCAAACCCACGGATACTAATTAAAGATATTCTTTATGTTCCGTTGTAAATGTTTGCTTGATCCCGAATTCATCGTCACCAGTTCTCTAATCGTCCTGTATTTCAGTGATCATTGTTGGCTCCATCATCGGCATCATCGTTATCGTCGCCATCATCGCAATCATACGGGCATTCTGCAAATCCAGGTATGTAGCATTACGTGGTAATGTAGCAAGTACACACACGGTTATAGTACACACACGGTTATAGTACTCCGTGGTAATGTAGCCAGCACACACACGGTTATAGTACGCCGTGGTTATGTAGTCAGTACGCGCACGGTTGTAGTACTCCGTGGTAATGTAGCCAGTACACACACGGTTATAGTACTCTGTGGTAATGTGTCCAGTACACGTACACACACGATTATAGTACTCCGTGGTTATGTAGTCAGTACACACACGGTTATAGTACTCCGTGGTTATGTAGTCAGTACACACACGGTTATAGTACTCCGTGGTAATGTGTCCAGTACACACACGGTTATAGTACTCCGTGGTAATATGTCCAGTACACACACGGTTATAGTACTCCGTGGTAATGTAGTCAGTACACACACGGTTATAGTACTCCGTGGTTATGTAGTCAGTACACACACGGTTATAGTACTCCGTGGTAATGTTTCCAGTACACACACGGTTATAGTACTCCGTGGTAATGTTTCCAGTACACACACGGTTATAGTTCTCCGTGGTAATATGTCCAGTACACACACGGTTATAGTACTCCTTGGTAATGTGTCCAGTATACACACGGTTATAGTACTCCGTGGTAATGTAGTCAGTACACACACGGGTATAGTACTCCGTGGTAATGTTTCCAGTACACACACGGTTATAGTACTCCGTGGTAATGTTTCCAGTACACACACGGTTATAGTTCTCCGTGGTAATATGTCCAGTACACACACGGTTATAGTACTCCGTGGTAATGTTTCCAGTACACACACGGTTATAGTTCTCCGTGGTAATATGTCCAGTACACACACGGTTATAGTACTCCGTGGTAATGTTTCCAGTACACACACGGTTATAGTACTCCGTGGTAATGTGTCCAGTACACACACGGTTATAGTACTCCGTGGTAATGTAGCCAGTACACACACGGTTATAGTACTCCGTGGTAATGTAGCCAGTACACACACGGTTACTTAATGTACCAGTTGGAGGTGAAAATATTAAAATAGAATGACTTTCCTTAAAGTAATGACGAAGTTTTTGAAAAATGAAATGCGTGTGTACGTTTATAAGCTTGTGTTTTCCCCCTAACGATTCAGCAAACAAAGTCCCAATATTCATAATATAATCAACAAAATTCACGGGAATGAGGTTAACTATATTTACTGTGCTTTAACTAAAAAGTTCAGATGGTTTATGTTACAATGTGGGTTTGTACAAACAAAACATGATCTAGATAGCGAATTACTAGGGATATATTTCAAAGTTTTAGAAATAAGAAAATCGAGTTATTCTTTTTCAGGCGTAAGTCAGCAAACATCACCATGGTGGAGAAAGGTGGTATGGAGAATGGGGGCGGGGCCACTACAGGGATAGATAATCCTCTTGTACAGTTACAACAGGAACAGGAAATGGTAGAAACAAATCCGAACCCTGTCGACATCCAATCCGGAAAAGGCGAAAATAATGGCAAAATGGAGGCGAATTTCAGTGAGGGAACTACGGAAATGAACGGAAATGGCGTCTCTAATTCTCCACGAGCTGGAGACGTTGACATGTTTCAGAGTTCGGCCAGTCCTTAACTTAAAATTAATTAAGGTGTTATGTTCTTTTTGAAGTTTTGTGAGAGGAGTATCTTAAAGTGAAAAAAAATAAGAAATAAAATGATATTCAAATATACTTTTCTATTTGACCGCTCGTGAATACCGGTCTTAATATTAATTTCCCACTCGCATAGTTTGATTTAACGACAAATTCATATTTCAAAGACCACCAATTGGTTTCGGGGTAAAGACAACAGACAGATCTGATGTTTCACAACTGCTTGTATGAGTAAGATTAAAAGTGAAATCCTTTCTCTCTGCGTTTATAAATTCCCTGTACATCTATTTATAAAACATCATCTATTTGTATCGTTTTCTTCATATTGTTATTATCGTGTTTAAATTAAAACGGTTGTCTCCCTTTAGAGGAAATCGTGATTCTAGTGAAAAAGAGTACTACTGACAAATGGAAACCCGAGAAAATGAGAAAATCTGTGTGTTCTCAAAATGTATCTTTGTGTTTGTGACGATATTGTCGTGTATTGCGGTAAAAACTATTTAACCCTACAACTTCTCTCGCTCTCTCTCTGGAGCGAAGACTATACATCAAATCTGGGCAGAACTTTGTTTTATTGACTGTATGTGACGTCATTAACCACAGGAAAGTACCGTGGATACTTTATTATAGAAGCAACGGACATGTAATAGAGACAACTAAGTCCTTTACCGTGACTCTCAGTCATTACTTGTGGTGACAACTAAATCCTTTACCGTGACTCTCAGTCATTACTTATGGTGACAACTAAATCCTTTACCGTGACTCTCAGTCATTACTTATGGTGACAACTAAATCCTTTACCGTGACTCTCAGTCATTACTTCTGGTGACAACTAAATCCTTTACCGTGACTCTCAGTCATTACTTATGGTGACAACTAAATCCTTTACCGTGACTCTCAGTCATGGTGACAACTAAATCCTTTACCGTGACTCTCAGTCATTACTTATGGTGACAACTAAATCCTTTACCGTGACTCTCAGTCATTACTTATGGTGACAACTAAATCCTTTACCGTGACTCTCAGTCATTACTTATGGTGACAACTAAATCCTTTACCGTGACTCTCAGTCATTACTTATGGTGACAACTAAATCCTTTACCGTGACTCTCAGTCATTACTTATGGTGACAACTAAATCCTTTACCGTGACTCTCAGTCATTACTTATGGTGACAACTAAATCCTTTACCGTGACTCTCAGTCATTACTTATGGTGACAACTAAATCCTTTACCGTGACTCTCAGTCATTACTTCTGGTGACAACTAAATCCTTTACCGTGACTCTCAGTCATTACTTATGGTGACAACTAAATCCTTTACCGTGACTCTCAGTCATTACTTATGGTGACAACTAAATCCTTTACCGTGACTCTCAGTCATTACTTATGGTGACAACTAAATCCTTTACCGTGACTCTCAGTCATTACTTATGGTGACAACTAAATCCTTTACCGTGACTCTCAGTCATTACTTATGGTGACAACTAAATCCTTTACCGTGACTCTCAGTCATTACTTATGGTGACAACTAAATCCTTTACCGTGACTCTCAGTCATTACTTATGGTGACAACTAAGTCCTTTACCGTGACTCTCAGTCATTACTTATGGTGACAACTAAATCCTTTTCCGTGACTCTCTGTCATGGTGACAACTAAGTCCTTTACCGTGACTTTCAGTCATTACTTATGGTGACAACTAAATCCTTTTCCGTTACTCTCAGTTATTGACAGGTGTGACATCTAACATCTTTACTGTGACTAAAAGTTTCCATTTGTCTATATGATATATACAACACGAGAATACCACCAGTGTTCAGTGACCTCGGAGACTCACTCAAATTTCAAATGACCTTCATGTTAACTTTAGTTTGATGACAAAACATTTTCTGATGCACACAATCTTTGTCCATTGTAAACGTCATCATTTGCATATTGTTTATAATAAATATATTTGTTTCATTTATACATTACTAGTGTGTGTGTTAATTTACTTGTTTACATGTATGCAAATCATGTGTTTGTAGTTACTGTATATATAACCCAATGTGTCCCTGTCTGTAGTACAGCTCTGTTGTACTGAACGACCTCAGAGATACAATAAATCACAAATTGATCGACGTATTTAAATGTCTGTTGTTTTTTTTAACTAATGGACAGAACAAACCTAATCAGAACATTTATGATGTATGGTATAGTACCAATACACGGTCTGAATGTTATAGCTATTTTCTGAAATAGGCAATTGTTTTATTTTCTGAACAACAAAAATTGCAAAGCAAGTACAAAATTCTGCGTGATGCTGTAGAAAATGATAAACATCACAAATATTTAGGGCAAAAAAAATCTGGACTTAACTGCTTAAAGCTGATATTTGTGATTTTTTAATATTTTTGTTGGTTTAAGTTAAGAGGGAAAAGTAATTTCGCGGTATTTGATGATTGATCTAATGTCTTACTGTTCACAAGTTAAACATCGTAGAGAAAAGGAAATTTGATTCCGTTCAAAAATATATTGCATCTTAGGATTTTCTCCACTTGAATTTCACAGTAATACAAAGCAGGTAACGTCAGTTTGCCGTCTCAGCTGTGAGACACGTGACTGTTTACTGACGGTGACGGTAAACTGCTACAATTGGTCATACACCTGGTACCGTCAGTTTACCGTCACTGTTGTGAGACACATGACGGTTTACTGACGGTGACGGTAAACTGCTACAATTGGTCATACACCTGGTACCGTCAGTTTACCGTCACTGTTGTGAGACACATGACGGTTTACTGACGGTGACGGTAAACTGCTACAATTGGTCATACACCTGGTACCGTCAGTTTACCGTCACTGTTGTGAGACACGTGACTGTTTAATGACGGTGACGGTAAACTGCTACAATTGGTCATACACCTGGTACCGTCAGTTTACCGTCACTGTTGTGAGACACGTGACTGTTTACTGACGGTGACGGTAAACTGCTACAATTGGTCATACACCTGGTACCGTCAGTATACCGTCCCTGTTGTGAGACACGTGACTGTTTACTGACGGTGACAGTAAACTGCTACAATTGGTCATACACCTGGTACCGTCAGTTAACCGTCATTTCAGCAGAAATTTTCAACAGTTTGATCTATGAGGGAATGTCTGTATAGAATATAGAAAATTGATTCAAACGTTCATACGGTGTACATGTCCTCGAATCATTCGCCTGTAATTGTACCAATCATTCCAAATAAGATGTAACATGGACAAATTGATTCGGTTTTCTGATATGACGGTAAACTAAGTAAATTTTATTTTCGTCTCTGTTTTACTTTATAGTTACACTAACCAGGACATAAGTCTAATTTATTTACTTGTTTGTTAGCGAGTGCCACATAGCCATGTATTGAATCACAGATATAGTCACGTGTGTTAATGGGATCCACCTCTCACTAATTGGTCAGTACTTAGTTAGGAAACAAAACTTTATAGACAGTTAATATACATCTATATATATATATACATAGCTGTCCGTTTTGATGGAGTGATTAGCTAAATGGCCGAGGGCTTGACCCTGACAAAAATGTCAATGGACTTGTCACATTATAACGTCGTTGGTCATCACCTGCGGATCGCTGATGTTTCCAGAGACGGGGTGTGAACCAGCCCCATGATGAGACGGAGGGGAAGAGTATGTGTCCTTATATTAGGGTCAGACAAATATCTAGGATACCGTTAATCAATAAAGAAATATATTATGACCAGCTTCTCGACATCTTTATCATAGAAAAAGTTCTGATGTCGCACTCATATCCTTGCTGATGGTGCTGTTAGAGTTACCTCCCTTCTCCCGGTCACCTGGATGACAAAATAGGATTGGGCACAAGTTTTACCAACTTATAAAGCCCTCTCCGTTACATAGTTTATACACCAATACTTAAACAACAAGCAATGTAACAATATATATATGATAATAACTTTTGATCGAAACAAAAGGGAAGGACTAAAGAGAAGGATAGAAGGTAGGTCAGGAGGGAAGAAGGGAGTATAAAGTACAAAGGAGGAAAGGTGGGGAAAGCAGATAGCTAGCCAAATAGTTTAGATGCATCAATGTATTTTTTAACAGCTCTAGCTAAAAGCGAGTTTTCAGCTGAACTTAGTCTTTCGTCTCCGTTTAAAAGAACGTTTATCGAAATATCACCCGAATGCCACGACAGTTCGGTAAATAGGGTGTTACGAATTTGTATATAGTTGGTACAGTGAAGTAAGTAATGAAAGGAGTCTTCGGAGGGATGTCCTCAGGAGCAAGATGTATAGTTCACGAGATTGGCTCTGAATAGGTCTTAATTGAGTGAGCTTGCTCTACTTCTCAAACGACAATGAAGAATATTTAGCTGACGAGGGTCATATCATAAAAAGCAGGATTTAAGCTTGTTGGTGCTTCTTGTACATAGTTTGGTTTTTAACAAATTCGGTGAACCAACAGTTTCTAAAAACTCATCTAATCCATTTACGAGGTCAGTTGTAGAAGGGAAAAATGAGTTACACAGAGATTGAAGACGGTAAGTTTGCTGTCGTAACTGATATGCGTTTCTTAAGTTATACCTAGTGAGATTGCCAATATGTTCAGGAAGACAATCAGTGAGGAGAAATGATGCAGTTCCGTTAGTTATGATATAAAAATGGAGAACTTTCGATGTTAACGTCTTAATTTAGTTCTTCCCAACCCGTTTTTCTTAATAGTAAGTCAGATCTAGTATATATGGGTAAACCAGTCACAATTCGGGCTGCCTCTAGTTGGATTTTTTCGATATTTGATGACATAAGAACTCCATAATTATCCCATACTTTGCAAGCATATTCTGATAATGACCTTATGTATGCGAGATACATATTTTCTAAAGTGTGTCTGTTAAGAATTCATTTTAACCTACGTAAAGTTGCTATATATTTAGATACCCTTCTAATAATTTCTTCTACATGTTTATATCATGTTCAGTCAC